CCCCTTCCCCAATTCCCCAACACTGTTCCTTTCCCCAATTCCCCAATAATATATATTTTTTTAAAAAAGAATTGTTCAACTCTTCAGGGTTTATTTAGTTATAAGATATAGGACAATGATTTAAGTTTTCAATAGTTTATCAGGTATTCCAGCACTGTTTATTAAGCTCTGCTATTACCACAAGTTTTACTACCACTCTTTATCTTTTACCAAAGTTTTACATATATATTTGGGTTGGTTTTTGAGCTCTCTGTTGTCTTCTATTGTTCTGTTTATGAAGTTATTATTGTGACTTAACATACTTTAATATGGTAAAATATATCCCCTTTCATTAATCTTGTCTTACTTAAAAGTGGTCTTGGATAGTTTCACAAATTTTATAGTTAAATAGAATTTATTCTTTCATAGTATAATGTGATATATCACCCCTTTACTCACCCTATTGTACTCCGAATGCCCACGTAAATAACTTTGGAAAGACCTGGGTTCTTGTCCTAGCCCCATCTCTTTCTAGCTATGTGGCTTTGGGCCAGTTACTGAACATTTCTGACTCTCACTTCTCTCCTCTATGAAATGGTGAGACTCATACACATCCTAAGGTCCAACAATAGGAAACAAGTTAAATAAAGGATTGTACCTCTATAAAGTGAAATATTACTTAACCATTAAAAAGTCTGATTTTCAAGACTGTTTGATGATGTAGGAAATTCTAGTTACATTGACTATAATCCCAATTTGCTTAAAATATATCATTATAAGAGCAGATGGTCAGGAGCACAGATTCTGAAGCTAGACAGACTTGGGTTTACTCCGAGGTCCAACACTGGCAACTGTGTGACACGTCCCTCTAGCTCTTCAGTTTTATCTTCCTCTTCTGAAAAACGATATCTCCTTCAAGGAGTCATTATGGAGACAAAATGAGCGGATACATAAAAGCACTTATACAATTCCTGAAACATCGTAAGCAGTAAATAAATGACCCTGATTATTGCTATTATAATGATTGTATTAACATTACAAATTCCTCATATACTGACTCCATGGGTGACCAGTTCCCAACAGATTTTAATGCAGTGAAATTCTCTTCTTACTAAAACTAGACTGGACATAATATATTTGTGCAGAAATTTAACAAGTCCCCAAGGGTGCAAGATGGCTATCAAAATTGCAAATGCATAGAACCCTTTGACCTAGCAATCCCACTTCCAGGAATCTATCGTACAGACGCATTTTTCACACATGTAAGATAACATAGTCATTATTTGCTTTTCTTTAAGAACACAAGATTGAAAACAACTTCAATTTCCTTTCAAAGGGACTTATATCCATAACATATCCTATGGCTTACTGCACAGGTATAAAAAGAAACGATGTACTAATATACAAAGATTTCCAAGATATATTATGGAGTAAGAAAAACAAGTTGAGTGCCACTGTGTATGACATGCTACTTTCATGTAAAAATAAGGGGGAAATGACTTTACCCATGTGTGTTTGCATGAATAACTACTAGAAAAAATAACCAAAAATCAATAGAAGTGGTTACTCCAGGGAGAACTGTTTTGGGGAGGAACAGGAGTTGGAATTAAGACTCGTCACTATAAGCCTTTTTACATTGCCTGCTTTTTAAAAAATTTTCATTGATGTGTAATATACATACAGAAAAGTATACATATCATAAATGTACCACTGAATAAACTTTTACAAACTGAACACAACTTTATGATCAGATCCACATAATGAGACAGAGCATTATCAGCCTCTCAGAAGTCCCCCTCATGACTTTTTCTAACCACTCCACTCCCCCCCCCAAAAGATAATCACTTCTAATAGGATAGGTTTGCTTTGCCTGTTACTGTACTTTACATAAATGAAATATACTGTATCTATTCTCTTGTGTCTGACTTCTTTCACTTAAATTGCAGAACTACCCATTTTGTAGCAAGTAGTTAGTTATAAACCATTCATTTCCAATGCCAGATATTACTCCGTACAGTGTATACACCATGTTTTATTTTTCCTGTCTACATTGGTGGGCATTTGGGTTGTTTCAAATGTGAGGTTATCACAAACAGTAATCCTATCAACATTCTTATTCATGTTTCTTAGAGCATAGATTTCTCTTGGGTATAAACCTAGGAGTGGAACTGCTAGATTATAGAGCAGACACAACCAGCTTTCATAGCTACTGCCCAACGGTTCCCTAAGTGATTATATCAATTTACATTCCTACCAGCAGTGGAAATTCCAGTTGGTCTGTATCCTTGTCAACATTTGGTGCTGTCTGTCTTTTTAGTTTTAGTCATTCTAGCAGGCATGTAGTTGTATCACATTGTGGTTTTAATTTGCGTTTTCCTGATAATTAATGAAAAGGTTCTCAATTTCATTAGCCAGCAGGGAAATATCAAGTGATTTTTGAACTATGTAAATGTATTACCTACACAAGAAAATACATAAATATTTTTATTATTTTTAAAAAGGATGCATGACTCCAGGGCCCTCACTGCCAAGATCGAAGCCCATGGAAGGTGTGTGTGTGTGTGTGTGTCTGTGTGTGTGTATGCATGTGCATGTGTATGCATGTGAATGTATGTGGTGTGTGCATACTTGTGTTTTACCAGTTAATGGTGACTTCTAGTTAACAGAAACTTTTCCACATCAACGAGACAACCCTAAACAGGAAACACGATAGACTCAGAACCTCAGTACAAGGACCATGGTCCCAGCTCATCAGTGGAGCTCACAGGTACTTTCTGAGCAACCATCGGAATTCCTCCTACCTCCTTGTCCTCCAGGGGGATGTAGTCTGGGAGGTCGATCTGACTCGATTTTGGAATTAACAACCGGAATTGGTTGGTTCCACTGGGTGGAGATGACTGCCCATCGGCATGTGCGCAGTAATCCTTGATGTCCCAGATCTAAGCACAAATCGTGGGTTAGTGGCCCACCACCACTTCACCCCAACACCAGCTCACTCTGTGGACCCCTCCCACACCGCTTCTCTTCACTTTAGGGGGCCAGTTCTTACTCCTCTGATATACCCAGAAGCTCAGGGCCAGAAGGGGCCCAGGGAATCTTCTAGGTTAGACCCCTTAGCTAGCATGCAGAGATGAGGAGAGTGGTCCAAGATACTCTTGTCTCTTGTCTCACCACAAAGCATGAAATCAGTTCCTGAGACAACTGATCACATATCAGATGCATGACTGGAGGATGAGGGAGTTATGAGGGTGACAATGATGGAACCCAGGACTCACTGGGGGAGGGGCCTTTTGAACCAAACTCGCATTCATTTCACTGGGCACCAGAGCAGGAGAAGACTGCTAAGGTAACCCACCCTACTGCCCACTGTTTCACAAATGAAACCATACCCAGAGGGAGTAGGGACTAGGCTAGGGCCACATATGGCAACGAGGTGGCCAGAGCTTGGTAATGCCAGCCTCTCAATCTCAACACCCGTTCTTCCTCACCTTGATGTATCCTTTACAATCCCCCGTGACAAGGATCCAGTCATTTTCATCAGTGGCCATGGCACCCACCACCACATCCCTATTGTCGTTGAGGTCCACGGGAAACTTCCCCAGCAGGCCTCCATTCCCGTGGATGGACCAGGCGTAGATGTAGCCGTCGATGCAGCTGCTCATCAGGGTGGCCGTGTGTGGCAGGCGAGGCCTGCTCTGCAGGAAGATTATCTGTGCAAGAGAGATGGGCCCACTCAGCTGGCCACTGTCACACAGTGCTACGGGGCCCACCCAGGCAAGTCTCCACACCCACCTGGTCCCCCAGTTTCCTAGTCACCCAATGAGAATGGTGATGGGATACCACCCTCCCTACCTAGCTGGTGACCAGGAACGTTTTGCTGGATTGCGAACTTCTTGAGGACAGGGGTTTGTGTCACCACTACAGCGGTGCCTGACACATGGTACGTGATCAGTGAATGGTTGTTGATGGAGACATACGAGTTCGATTTGCCCTAAGGCGCAAAGATTTTCTAAGACCTGTAACTCAACTCAAAGTGATTTGGAAGATGAATCATTCTCCTTCATATATATCTACAGTGAAATGTCCCTATTTTCCTGCCAGTCACCAAGAAAGCATTTTCACCAAATTCTTCTTCGAGTCTTGTTTGGATGACGCCTTTTGCTAATATTCTCCCCTCTGCTCACTTTCCCTTTACTCGTCACTCCTGCGGTTCATGTGGGGGCCGCAGCAGGGAGTTACTCTGCGTGTAAGAACTGCTCGCCTGGTACCCACCACACGTGAAGCAGAGAGAGCACAGCATGGGGAGGGGAGGGCAGGCAGAGCAAATCAGGCCAGGCAGGGGAAACTGGAAGCTTCCCCACTCATGGCAAGTCAGAAAGTACAGTATGGTGGCCTAGGTGTCCCCAAACCAGTCGCTACCACCAACAAAAGGAATCTCAATTAACTTTATTGTCATAGAGGTCCTGAACAAAATGCTAAACTTGCTTCCCATTGGGCCACATACCAGGGTCACAAAACCCGGAGTCCCTAAACCAAAGACAAAGGGCAAGCATTTCCTCACTTTTGCAAGTTTACTGCCACACTGTACAAAACGTGGACAGCACAGACAGATGAGAAAAAATTAAATCGTCTACAGGTTCCCAATACCCGGGAATAATCACATTAAAATTTTAGTGCATTTCCTTCCAGCTTTTTTCTAATTGCATTGTCTATATGAATACTTTTATTGTATCTTTTAAAATTATGAAATATACATGTAAGAACAAATATATCAATGAAACAGTACAGAGGGTCCAGAAATAGATTAGTAAAGATTATAATATATAAGAATGATAGAATTTCAAGCCAGTGGAGAGAAGATAAACTATTTAATAAATGGTATTTGAACAACTGGCTACCAATTTAGAAAAAAAAATTTTAATTCACATATCACACCATACACAAAGTTACTTAGATAAAACAAAAGCTGACTAAAAACATATAAAATTATAAATGTCTAGAAGAAAATATAACAAAATTTTCTGTGATCTTGGGGTAATCAATGCCTTTCTTCATTGTTACAAAGGGAAATAACAAAGATGGCAAGATAAGAATTAAACCTCAGTGTGATACCACAAAGGCAGGTGAAAAAAATATGCAACAGGCAAAAGATTCATTTCCAGAGCATATAAGGAGCCCCAAGAAATTAATACCAAACAAACAATTTGAAAAAGCATATGAATAGACATTTATTTCATGGAAGAAATACAAATGTCTAACAAATATGCAAAAAGCTCAATATCACAAAGTCAAAGAAACATCTCCCCCAAAATGCTATTTTCTACCTACCAGATTGGCAGAAATTAAGAGAAAGCTAATGTCCACCTCCTCTATGAAGCCATCCCTGACCACCTTATAAAAACAGCAGCACCCTCTCCACCTCCCATACTGTTCTCCCACCCTCTTCGCAGTTTGCTTGCTCTCCACTGTACTTGCTAACCCTGTGACCCACCATTTATTTTACTTGCTGGTTCATTGTCTGCCTCACTTAACTGGAATGTCAGCTCCACGAAGGCCCTAGGGGTTTGTTTTTTATTCACTGCTGCCTTCCCAGTGCCTAGTATGTGATAAATGCTCAATGAATAACTGTGTGTGCCTGACAACTAGGTCACCAATCCAAAAGGTGGGGCTTTGAGTCATCCACTTTAGTCAGATTCACGAATTGAAAGGGATAGAGTCGGTTGGGCAATTCTGCTCCCAGGAACCCATCCTTTTGAAATACTCACAAGCGCACAGAAATATATGTGCAAGGATGTGTAATGCAGTGCTGCTCATAAGAGTTAAAAATTGGGACTAACCTACCTGTCTATCAATGGAAGACTGGCTTAATAGTTTATGATCCTTCCAAGCTATGGGACATGATGAGGTTATTAAAAAGAATCAGAAAACAAAAGAATAAGCTGAATCTAAATTACTGATGTGAAAACATATCCATGATACATAGTTAAAATTTTTTTTTTTTTTTTAGCTGAGCCATCCTGCCACCTGTTGGCAGCTCAGCTCAGGCCAGGACTCGAACTGCTGTTGCTCAGAGCTCAAACTCTTGAGCGAGCTCTTAACCAACTGAGCCACTCAGCTGGCCCATTAAGTTTTTTTAAAAAACAGCAAATAGCAAGACATAGCTATAATTTTACATCACTGGTCTGAAAATAAAAAAGGACAAAGGCTAAACCAATCCGTTAGCAGTGACTGACCACTACTGTTTGGATGGGCTGGAATGGGGGCAGGGGGCGGGTAGTGACATATAAGGGATCTTTATTTTTTATTTATACACACTTCTATATATATTTTCTTTCTTTCTTTCTTTCTTTTTTTTTACTAACTAGCATTATTAAAAAACTTTTAAAAGTTTTTAAAGGCATTTTTAAAAGAGATAAAAGCACATTCAGAGCCTAGAGAATATCCAGCCACCCACAGCTCTCAGCATCAGCCCACAGGACCCAGCTCTGCAGGGCACTGCTCCCCTGGTCTCCAGTCCCTGGTCCCCTGGGTAAGGGAGCAGCCCTGCCACCCCCTAAAACAACTATGATTTGGATTTTCACTCGGCTCCTGGCAGGGACTTAGGAAACCCATACAGTCTCTGAATTACCCTATCTTTGCAGATTAAAGCTGGAAGGGGCCTTAGGGGTCGCCCCATCCAGGGGTGACAGCACAGCAAGTGGTGTCCAGGGCCAGAAAGGCGAAAAGTACAGGAGGAAGTGAGAACAGAAATAACCCAGTCCCCCTGATGCATCATATGAAACACGCTAGCAGGGCATAGAAGGGCATTTAAGAGTGGATTCTAAAAATGCCACTTCTCCCTCCCAGTCCAGGCCCCCAACCAGGAGGGTACACTGATCACCTCCTTAGACAGCCCCGACACACACAACTAGGGAGCTTCCCCCAGACACCGTAGTCCTGAAGCCAGAATCCTGAACAGTACCATAATCTCCACCACACCTCTCCAGGCCCTGGGGAGAACCAGGCTGGGCCCCCAGACCCCTAAGCTCATAGACACTGTGTTTCCCAACCCCACCCCACTGTTCAGGCCTGGCTCACACCCCGGATCCTGCCTGAGTATTGCTGACCTTCTCCACGGATGTATTAGATTGTAGCAACATCTTCTGTAAGTCCCCTTTTCTCCTTTCAGCCTCTTGGAAGAATGGCTGTTTGTCATAGAACATTCTGAACTGCTTGGGGCTGACAGCGTTGAGAGGAGATTTCTGGAAAGCAAAATGGACCTCCCAAGTCATCATGAGGGCGACTCCCTGCCTTATGGGGGGCACAGAGACCAGAGGCAGATGCTGAAAGAGAGGCCACCCCAGCCCCACTCAGTAGATACACCACCCTGTGACAGGTACAGCTGGGTGTCTAAGAGATCCTGGGCCTAAGGACACCACAAGCTCAAGGGGACGAGACCCTTCCTTTGTCCTGGAAGAAACATCTTGGCTGAAGGTGAGGATGAAGGGGTGTACATACCCATGTCTCTGGGAGATCTGAATGCAGTGGTACGACCCCGATACGTCGGAGATGCTGGGAGTGCCTTACAGTAATTTCTAGCCTCTACACCTTGTAGCAGAACTGCATCCTAGCAGGTCATGCAGGATCCAGGTCTAGACTGCTCTGTGCCTGGCAGGTATTGTATGCTTGGGGAAGGTGGGGTTTCTCCTTCAAGCCTCAGCTCCCAAGAATGGGAATCAGGCTTCAACTACTGAGACCATCTGACTGGCTCCCAAGGCCCACACAAGAGATTTCTATCTTCACTGTAGGGTCTCAGGCCAAACCACCCCCAGTGAATAGAGAGGGAGTAGCTTTCCTGCTCTTTCTCCCTGCTCCCCCCAAAATAGGACCTGGAAACGTTAATCCCGGGGCAGGGCTCAGAGAAGGAAGGAAGTGTTTTGCCTGGGAGTCTGGCCTCCAGGGAGGTAGGTGGCCCCACGGCTCATCTCTCCGGGGGCAACCTGAGAGAACAGCCCAGGATCTAACCTCCAGTTGTGGGTTCTCTGGGTTTGCAGACATTGGGTCTGGGACTGGCCGTGCTCTGGGAAGGGACCATAACCAGTTTTGAGGCAGCAGAGTGGGTTAGATGCCCCGGGCCTGCTGAGGGAGGTGCGCTGCCATACCCACAGTGCTCAGGACAAGTGAGTTGGCAGTCCTAAAGACGTTCTGGAAAAAGCGCCTCTGAATAAGGAAAAAACACTCAAGAAGCAAACTCAGGTGCCCACAGAGCGAGGATGGTTGCCTGGTTCGGTTCTAGCTCCCACCTGCAGGGGCACAGGCCCAGCTGGCTCCTTGTCTCTGGGGTGTCTCATCACCGGGGGTGCTGATGTCAGGTTCTGCCTCAGGTTGGCATTGGCCACAGTCTTGGGGCTGGGGCCCAGGGGCCACTTGGAGGTTTTGAGTGCCCACTTCTGCTCCACAACGGGCTCGCTAGGCCTGTGCCTCTTGACCAAGAAGTTGTCCCTTTCTTGCTGCACCTGTGCCAGGGAGAGAGCAGCCCCTGGGGCACGGTAATGTCCCAGAGGGAAATGCAGGGTCTCCCCAGCCCAATGCCAACAACACGGCCCTCTAGGTGCCCAGGGTGTGCTTCCCAGTAACTGAGGACCCTTAGAGGCATCAAACCAGAGCCTGGTTATAGAAACCACCACCTACCACCTAGATCCCAGTCTCCTCGTCCAGAACACGTCACCACCTCCCTGCACTTCTCGAGCTGCTCCCTATCCCCCAGGCCCTACATGATTCTGGCCCACAGCTGAGAAAGGTGAGCGGGGAGCGTGTTCCTGCTGACCATACCTTCTTAGGCAGCAAGGGTAAGGGGCTGTCCGAGGCGTTGAATTTGAGGATGGGCTTGAACATGTTGACGTTCCAAAAGAGGATGTCCCCGTTGTAGGAGGAGGTCCCGAGGAAGTGGTTCTGGTACTTGGCCATGCTCAGGACATCCTCCGTGTGGAAGGTCTGCCAGTGTTGGCACGAGAGCACCGACATGGCCTTGTGGAACCTGCACACACGGCCAGAGGCAGGAGGGTTGAGAGCTCAGCCTTCAGGCTCCCGTGGGAGAACACTGACTCAGAGAAGGACGCTCGGGCTGGAGCAGGGCTGATGCTCTGCTCCCCTGACCTCATCAACTAAGCACCTATAATGTGCCTACGATACAGGCTCTGTCCCAGGGCTTCACATAAACTAATCTAACAGAATCGCCCCATTCAGGCACCTGAGTAAGGATTTAAGTGTAGCGAAGGGGAGACCATGGCCCTAGAAAGACCCTCCGAGGAGGAAGGGGCCTTGCACAGCTTCTTCTCTCTGCCTGGAATGCTCCTCTGTCCCAAGCCCTTCACTGCTTCACTGAGCCGCCTCCTGCTCACTCTTCAGATCCTACTCCACCCATGGAATTCTCAGGTGAGCTTTTTCTGAGCACGCCTGAGACTAAATCAGATCTCTGTCTCCTCCCCATAGAAACCTATACTCCATAGAACTTATCATTATAAATAAAGTTATTTGATTAGCGTCTGCATCCCTCTAGAAGCTTCAGGGGGACAGAGACTTACTTATGCTCATCCCCAGCACCTAGCACAAAGCCCAGAACATACTAGTCTCAAGGAGCGAGGAATGGATGAATGAGCAGATGAAGCATTGGACATTACCCATCACTAACTTCCTGCGTGGTGTGCCAACCACCAGCAAAGCTAGGAACGGAGGAACTCGTGTGAAACAGAGAGGATAGTCAGCTACTCTCACTTACCCACATGCACCCTTTGCTACTCACATGTAATAAGTGATTCTCTTACTCCATCCGGTCACGTAGAACACTTTGTTCATATGGATGACCCCACTAATCTGTTGATGACAAAAGAAAACAGAACTCTGGGCCAGCTGAGTGGCTCAGTTGGTTAAGAGCTCGTGCTCTGAGCAACAGTGTCACCAGTTTGATTCCCACATGGGCCAGTGAGCTGCACCCAAGCTGAGCTGCAGCTGAGCGGCCAACAGGTGGCAGGATGGCTCAGCTGGTGAGAGCACATGCTCCTAACAAGGTTGCCGGTATGACTCCTGCATGGGATGGTGGCTGCGCCCACCCGCAACTAAGATTGAACATGGCACCTTGAGCTGAGCTGCCCTGAGCTGCCAGCGGGCAGCCAGATGGCGACTGGACTTGGAGCTGAGCTAGCTGTGCCCTCCACAACTAAGATTGGAGGACAACAACTTGGCTGTTCCCCTTCTCCAATTCCCAATAAAAAAAAAATCTTAAAAGAACGAAAGGAAGGAAGGAAGGAAGGAAGGAAGGAAGGAAGGAAGGAAGGAAGGAAGGAAGGAAGAAAACAGAGCTCTAAGGCGCCTCAGAGAAAATGTGTCTTTCTAATTGTACCAAGCAGCAAGTCAAGCCTCTCCATGTGATGAGAATTCCCTAGAGGTGATACCATGTATTTGGCAACGTGTTCTCAAATCCCATTATCTCAGTTAACGGATTTGGAGAAGGCAGACAGGGTAGGTATCCGTGTCCATTTTACAGCGGATAGTTGGAAAACAGACAGGTGACTTAGCTAAGGTCAAATGACTGTGTGACAGGACCTTCATCAGTACTCAGACCCCTGGCTTCTCGGCCAGGGGCTCCTCCTGAGTCGGTTAAAGGACTATGCCAGAAAGGTTAGCAACGTGCTCAAGTCCAAAAGTGGGACTGCTGGCTCTGCTCTACGCCACACCCACAGACTGGCCCTGTAACCCTGTGAGGCATTTCTCAAACAGGGGTGAGCATGGATGGCTCTGAATCACCTGATGCCACTGCTAGAAATGCCACCCCAAGCTCTCATATGCGGGGTAAGAAGTGCTAGCAAACTAAAAGCAAGAGTAGCTAACATTTGTCAAATGCTTATTAAGAACAAGTGCTATTACCTATCTACACGCGAGGACACAAAGGCTCAGGGAGGCATGAGGAGAGCGGTCTACATACACAGTCTTTCAGGGAGGCACAAAAAATAGTGAGCCCCCAAGGTCACAGGAGCTGCGCTTTGCTTCTCAAGAGCCTCCCCCCCCCCCCGCCCCGGCCCCAGATGATGGACCAGACTGACCTCTAGCTTGTCAGGGTTGGGGAAGGTCAGCAGGCATTTGCCAGTGCTGTAGTTCCACATCTTGATGGTGCCGTCACGCAAACCTGTGAGCAGGCACCGCTCGGGCTCATCCAGGGACATGGCAGTCAGCTCCACTTGTTGGTCACCAGTCACAGAGAACTCCATCATTCCATTGCCTGTCGAAATGTCCCACACGCTAACCACGCCGCTCAGGCAGCCACTCACCACCTGCAGAGGAGTGCACGACTGGGACTCCAGCACAGAGATCACCCCCACTCCCGAGGGCAGCCACCTCCTGTCCTGGCTGGGGCTAGCCTGACCACACCTCCATGCACTGAGAAAACAGGTTGTCAGGGGCCGCTGCTGCGGGATTAGTGACTCTTGAAAACAGGCCTTCCTCTACTTTGTAACAGGGCAGTGCAACCTGGCACAGCTCTTTTAGAAGGGGCCAGTTTGGTGAAATCCCTTTAACTCAGAAATAGCATTTATCAGAATCTATCCAGATACAATAATCTCTAATTCAAAAAAAAAAACAGTTTATTGACACATCACAAATCATGGGGGGAGAACACATAGGAAATATACTAACTGCCCCCTAAGAAGAGAAGTGTTGACAGTAAAAATGGTCACTCCACTCGATGACACATTCTGCTGCCATTACGAGTGTTATGAGTGCACCAGTAGCAGATGGAGCTATTTCAAACCAATGCTCCTGCTGAGAACATCTAGAAAAGCTGGAGGGTGGGGTGTTAAAACTGTTTAAAGGCACTGACAAGCCCTAAGGTATGTGGGATGGTAGTGCCAGGAGCCAGGATGAAAGGGAAGTGCTGAGAGGTGACCTCTGACTTCGTGTGGCCCAAAGCCACCTCTGCAGCAGACACAGGCGGCCCTGCCCAGAGCCCAGGCCAGAAAAGGGGTTCCAATGGAAGGAGGCAGGGGGCCCAGGGGCCCTTTCTTTCCCATACCTCCAAAACCATGTGCCCACACCATGTGCCCAACTGCCTTGCCCAGCCTAGAGGTCTCTACTCAGGACCTGGGTGCTGCCCGAGCCTGGGCCTCCCTCCCTTCTCACAGTGGACGAAGTTGAACTAGGGCTTCCCTGGAAAATGACGCCCAGGAACAGCACCCCGCCCCAGGAACCCTGCAGAGCAGCCCACCCCTAGCGTTGCATGTTACACTCTGTGTAAAGAAGGCTGCCTGTCCAGAACTGACCTGAGGCGGCAGCCAGGGATACATAGGCTCAGAGGAGTTAGGTGACCCACTGACCAAGTGGCAGAGCTGCAAGCTCATCTCGGGCCAGCCCTTCTGCAGGGGCTGCCCCCACCACCATCACAGCCGTGAGAGTTCCATGCCACCTCGCCACCTGCACCAGCTGCCCCTTGGATATGGACACATCTGGAGGCCTAGATCCTGCCCCATGTCACCCAGCACTCCTGGCACCTCCAGAGAGTAGCTTCAACCCACTCACCTGCTTGAAAATCTTGCTGTAGAGGACAGCACACAGGGGTGTGTCGTATGTCGTGTTCTTCCTGGGTTTCCGAGGCCCCTGGGTGTCCATGCACCCTTTTAGGATCCCAATCTGTAGTGAGGAGAGGGGCAGACCCCTGGGCAGTCTGAGGAGCTCTGCCCTCAGTGACTGGCCCCAGGGAGAAACTTCCAATAAATTGAGACATCAACACGTCCTGACTGCGTGCTGGCCTGAGCCCGGTGTGGCCCCTATGCTCCTTAGCCTGCCTGCTACCTCTCACCCCTACGCCATGTCCCCCAGTCCCTAAGATCGGGACTCCTAAATCCAAATGTTCCTAGAACCCCAAAGTGCAAGGTCCCTCTTATGACTTCTGAGAAGCACAAAGCCTCAATCTTGTGTCCCCTCTTCCAGGAAGCCTTCCCTGACTAGCCCTGCCCCAGGCTATAGGCTAAGGATCCTTTCCTTCTGCTCCATGAAGCACCTAGCATACAACTCCATCATAATACATCACATTTTCTACTGAAACTCTCTGTTCTTCTATCCTATAGGTTCCTCAAGGGACAGGACAGTGTCTAATTAATATATTCTCTTCTCCTAACAAAGAACAGGAAGTTGATAATGTTCCACGACCTAAAATTAACTACAAGGGTCTATTTAATTCAACAAATGCTGGCAGCCAGTCTGGACTCAGCAGAGATTAAGGAGCCCACAACATCCCTTCTCAAGAAACCTGCCATTTGGGGGAGAGCCAGCCAAGGGCACATGGCTGACATATATGTCCCCTGCCAGGGAGGCCTGGCTATCATAGGATACGAGGCCTCAGTGGGGCTACCCCTTCCTCTCAACCACAAATGACACCCTCATCTCCCTTTCTAGATGGAACCTTTCCATTTACTGGCTGCTGGTTGTCCTTAAAGCCCCCTAAGCTCCCATCTTGTCACAGGCACCCCTGCCGCCCTGCACAGTCAGCTCCCGTGCTTCGTCCAGTCTGTCCTGTCCTGTGGGGTCAGGGTCAGGTCAGACCGCACAAGAGCACCAGCTGAGTCGAGCTCACAAATCGTGCTCACATCAGGTCTCTCCAGGTTCTCTCCTTCAGAGAGGCCGCTCAGTTGTGGCCCTGCCTTCCTGGAGTCCATGATTTAGCAGGAAAGTCGCAAAGAAGTGACAGGACAGAGTTATAAGAACCATGACTGCAGGGAGGCACAGGGCAAGGGGGCTTGGAGGAGGGGCTCCGAACCTAGCCTATGGGGGTCAGGTTGGGCTTCCAGGACGAGAGTCTAGAGGATATACAGGTCGGGAAAAGAGCAGAGAGCAGCACCGGAGAGGGTGACGGCCTGGGGGCCTAGAAACAGTCTTCCAGGAAATGCCAAGAGATGGGGGCCTCACAGTCCAGCCACAGGGTCCAGCAGCTTCGTCCTCACAGCGGCGTGAAGAGCAGTCTCGGGAGGGACAGAAGGTGACCGTCCCGTGGGTAGGACTTCAGACTACAGGCCACTTACTGAGTAGGTGCTGCAGATGAGGGTGTTGTCATTCTTGTGGCAGTAGGCGCTGGTGATGGGGCAGTTTCCCAGGCCAAAAAGCTTCCCGCAGAAGGAATGGAGGCATACATAGTCCTGCAGGTCCCACACGCGGATATTCTGAGGGGTAGGAAACAGGCAAAGAGGTTGTGAGCTGGCACCTGAGGCCTTGGGATGTGAGCGGAGCCAGGGGCACAAACGTCTCCAAAGCACAGCCTCTGCACTAAGTGTCTGCCACGGACTACAACCCGAAGACAGAGAAGTTCTTATGTTCAGACGAAAAAACGGAGGCTGTCTTTCCGCCACCCCCAGCCTTCCTCCAGGGCCTCTGCCCTGCTCAAGCAGCTGATGCTCAATGTGGGGAGGACCACTGGGCAGCATGCACCCCTGCAGACCCTCATAGCTCCCACTCCAGCCAGGCAGGACGCAGCGAGTGCCCACCAATATTGTCGCCCAAAAGGCCCACCTGTCCCCAGAGGAGCCTTCTCAACTTCATCCCAGATTGAGGAACTGTCCCTGGAGAGGCCCCACAGAAGCCCCTCCAGGACGCTCATGTCTTGGAGGCATGGGCAGGGAGCTGGAAAGGCATGGACTGGAGTCCACGCCCTGGCTCTGCCCATCGCTGACTGAGGATTTCAGCAAGCCTGTCCTGGTCCCCTCACCCTTCCAGCCTTGATCCTCCAGTAGAGGCCATGATGCCCAGCTCCCAGGGCTGCCAGACGTATTCGACAATGTGTTGGGGAGGGTAGCCTGGGTGACCCAAAGGGTCCTGCCAATTCTCAATTACTGAGTCCCAGAAGACACACACTTGTCCCCTGCAGGAGGACACCTGGAACCGCTGGCTGCATGCCCGCACTGGCCAGAGCGCCCGCCCGAGCAGCCCAGAAGACAGGTGGTAACCTGAACCAATAGCTGCAGAGGGGCAAAGTGACAGGGGCCCTGAGCTGGTGAGCCCCAGGCATTGGGGCAAGTTCCAGTCAGTGTCTGACAGCCAGGACAGTCAAGGAGTCACCAGGAGAGCGAGAAGTACAAGCTTGGGCCTGGGGGGAGGGGGAAGGCAGGGGAAGGGCTCACATATATTGTATGTCTACTGTGTGCCAGACACGACACTGCTCTTTTACCTCCAGTTCTCCTCTAAACCACTCAACAATCCATT